GGTTGTATTTAATGAATTTTATAAAAAAAATTGTATAAATTTAATACTTTTTAAGTATATCAAGTTTAAGTGAATATAAAAAGTTAAAAAAACAATTGATTAAAATATTTTTAAAAAATTACTAAAAATATAAAAAATACAAATTAAAACAAAAACTCAAAAAATTATTTTTAAAAATTGTAAACCAAACAGAGGGATTAATTTGGAAAACATTAATTGTGCATTTATAAAGTGCAATTAATTGTACATTATTAATGAAGATGACCCCTAAATATATGTTTGGGAAATGGTTTTTAAGGATTTTTTTAGTTAAAATAGTCACAAAAAACAAAATAGATTTTTTAGTTCAATAAGACGAAACATCACATTCAATCTATAATTATTATATTTTTTCTCTCACAAAAAAGTTAAAAAGCCAAAAGCTCTTCCCAAATCAGGTTTTTTAGCTCCAGACTAAAATAGCAAAAAAAATCAAAAAGTTAAAAAGCCAACCCACTTTCCAAACGAAACTTTGCACACTTGAGTTGCAAGCCAAGCCGAAGCTGAGCCGAGCACAAGTCAGCTCACTTTCTTTACCAAAGAAACAAAAGATTTTAGGACGCGGCGAAACAGACTAACGACGCCGTGTCGAGCCCTTGATCTTGCGTTTCCCTGTTCGCCCATTTGGAACCCAATTCACACAGATCCCCGAGAACACTCTCTCCCATCATTTTCCCGGAAAATACCAAAAAACAAGAAAAGAGATGGGAAATAAAAAAGAATATGACGGAAAATACAAAAAGAAACCCCAAAACAAAAGTAAAAGAGAGAAAGCGAAATGTGAGTGCAAGTGAGAGAAACATAGAGACATATATGTAGAGAGAGATAGAGATAGAGATAGAGAGGGGAGAGAGGGAGGGAGAGAGAGAGAGAGAGATCATAAGGCGTGATTTTTACTTTTGCTTTTTTCTCTCGACAGGAATCTTTGAAAATCAAAAGTCGAAAAAATAAAAGAAAAAACAAAAGTAAAATGAAAGTTCATTTATTTGGGCACCCTCATCAACAAAGAGCACAGGAAAGCTCTAGAATAATATTAAATAAAATGGTGATGTTACTATTTTATTGACATGTAAAATCACTAATTATACATTACATGGAGAGCAAATCCTATTATTCATGTGTAATTATTTGTTTTAAAATAATATTATACTTGTCACATATAAGAGGGACTATTTGGTAGAGTTTATTTAAGTTAATTTATTTGAGTTACTAATAACTTTTTTCTTATATTTATTTTTAGGAGATATGTTAAATTATTTGGTTCAATTTCTACTTATAACTTTTTAAATAAAAGTAGTTTAAATAAGTTGAAAAAAAATAAATTCTTAAAAAATGAGTGATGGATACTTTTGGCTTTTATTTTTGAATTATTAATCATAATAAATTATACCAAACAACACAATAATAGGTTCTATTTTGTTTAAACAGTGATGATTTGTAACTCAAAAAGTAGAGCTCTAAAAGAGCTTTATTGAGTTGGCACTTAAAAAAAACAGCAATGCTATATACCACTAAAAGTGGTGCTCTGAAGCATCACTAATGAGTTGGCACACACCTAAAAAAAAAAAAAGCACAGCAATACTGTGGCAGTGGGTGGGGCCTACTGCCACATCATTAGTGCTACTACTAATTAGTGGTCTCAAACATTTTTGTAAAAAAAACAAAACAAAACAAAACAAAAGTTAAGCCAAAATATCACATTAAGATAGGATCTACAGCATTGTCATCTCATTAGTACAACTTTAGAACTACTATTTTAGTGGTCCGAAACATTATTCTATGTTTATATGTCAAGTTATTAGTGAATTGACATACAATATCACTAATCAAAAATAATTTATACATAAGAGAGTAAATTTGAGTACCTATGTGTCTAGTTTAATATAAGTAATGATATATATAGGGTAAATTACATTTACCTCCCTTGAGGTTTCTGACAAATATAGGGACCTCCCCTACTTTACCTGACAATGTCAAGATTCTCCCATTTTTTGATTGTCGTTCATGTAACTAACAGGAGTTGCTGAGGTCATCAAAAATAAAAACTGAAATTCCTATAATGCCCTCAAGTTTTTTATTTGGGTCTCTCTTTCTCTCCTCAATCTATTTTTGTCTATGAATTCTTTTTGGATACTGCTCATTTTAGCACATATATATAAGTATATATATATATATACATATAATAATGGGAGAAGAAGAAACCAAGAAAGTTGAATCTGCAACTACTCCGGCGGTCGCACCATTTGAGAGGCTTCCGAGTTCTTTCAAACACGGCGGCGGAAACTCCGAGGAGGCTTCTTCTCTATTGTCGTTATCGAGGTGTTGTTGCTCAACGGGGATGTCGCAGTTCTGGGCGACGACGGACTTGAAGGATCCAATGGTGGAGTAGAGGCTGATTTGTACCGGAACTATAGCCGTTAGAGCATCGGATGTGAACAGTCGCGTTACCACCACCACTACTACCGTCGCTTTCGGCGGTGTTGTTGTTTGATTCGGTTGCCTTCGCTACACCACCGCCCATGCTCAGAAACAGAAAATAGTTGGGTCAATGGAAATTGCAAAGATCAAAAGCCCCTATTCTTTAATCCAACCCTCAAGTATTATCTAATTTGTATATATGCCACATATATATATGTGTGTGTGTACGTTATATTCGATTAAAATTATTTAATTTATCTCAAATTTACATATATATATATATATAACCATAAAGATAATATTTAATTGTTAATTTTATGGCTATTTTTTGTAAAACATGGTATCTGTAAAGATTGTTATGGGTTTGCTAATTGTTAATTTTATGGCTATTTTTGTGAAATATGGTATATGTAAAGATTGTTATGGGTTTGCTACTATTGCCTGCTGTTGTAGCAAAGGTTAAAAAAAAAATGGAGTAAAAAATCCTTTGTTTCAGCCATGGGAAATGGCAGATGATGGGGAGCTTCTATTTACACACACTAAACCCGTGTATATTGTGTGTGTAAATAGAAGCTCCCCAGATGATGAAACCAAAAAAAAAATAAGAAAGGAAAAGAAAAGAACCCCTATTCTTTATTCCTTGGTCTCACATACTTACTGAACTATTTGTTATAGATGTATAAATCTCTACTATGTAAATCTCTACATCTATGTATATCTATATATATATTACTATTTGTAAAAATCTATATATATATATTACTATATATAAATCCCTACATCTATATATATAAATTAGTGATTTTTATCATCTGGGTCTTGCTTATTTTGATTAAAATAATTAATTCCATCATGGCTTTCCCAAGTGGGACATCTTTAGGGTTATCTCTCACTCTCTGTTTCAAAACTCAAGCTCTGAGGAAGATGACCCTGATGGAACAAAGGGTATTTTCATATTTTTGACCTCAAATGAAGGGGTAATATGGTCATTTAATATATGCAAGTAACGTCGTTTGTTGCAATCTGACGGAAGGGGGAATCTTGATATTGTCAGGTAAAACAGGAGAGGTTACTGTAATTATTCAAACCACAGGGGAGGTCCCTGTATTTGTCAGAAATCTCAGAGGAGGTAAATATAATTTACCCATATATATATATATATATAACAAATACAAAATAATATGACTATAAACAAAACACTTCATGAATATAAGTTTATTTACAAACGCAACTTTGCCATTATATGAATTTTTATGCATGAAGAGATTTTAAAAGTAAATAATTTTGTAATCGTTACGTATATAATTGCATATATTATATTAACATGTTAAGTTATAATTGAGTGATGATAAAATTAATTATTTTAATTAGTTTTTTTAATTTTTTATAAAAGAATATGTAAAAAATAAAAAATAATATAACAATTTGTAGTAATATTTTTTAATTACAAGCTCATGTTGCCAAACAAACGTGAACACCTTAAATCATTGTTATATTAACATTTGAAATTATAAATTTAACAACACTACATATTCAGATTTATGAATTCAAAATGAAAAAATATTAAAAATTCTAAAAGTTTTCTTAAAATTTTTACTAAGGCCAAGTTTGGCTACTACAAAATAATTAATCTTTTTATCTTTTTTTCATCAAATCACCTCTTTACTTTTCTGCACATCTTTTCATAAAAAGATAAAATCTTATTTGGTTTGTGTTTCTCAAAAAATTTTTAGAAAAATTCTCTACAAATAAGTTTTCAAAAGTAATCAAACTAAATAAATTTTTCTAAAATTTTTTTTCCAAAACTTGTTTGGTTTACAAATTTTCCAAACAAATCTCTCTCTCATACACATTAAATCAATCATTTTTTCCAAAACTCTCTCTCAAAATAATTTTTCAAAACATCTTTTGAAAAAAAATCAAACCAAATAAATTTTCGTACTTTTTATCTCAAAACATGTCTCTCAAATACAAACCAAACAATGCCACACTTATTTAGGTCATCCCAAACAATTCTTAAATGTCTCATATAGATGCGAAATCCATATGAGACTGACATTGTGTAGATCTCACACCCATACAAGACATTTAATAAAAATTTTGATAAAACTTTTGAAATTTCTAATATTACTTATTCAAAATTTATCTGAAATAAAATCAATAGTACAAATTTATTTTATTCATAAACTCCATACTGCCACACAAACACATCCAGATAACCATTTTTGTTATAAATTTAAGAAAATTTTAGAGATTTAGACTTATTCACTTAAGAATTTTTTAGATAGATAATTTTATGATGGAGATTAAATTTGTTTAATTTAAATTTTATATATAAAATAAGTTTGAATCATAAAATAAAAATTCTAAATAATTTGTGAATTGATAAAGCGTGGATTGATAGTATTACTGCTAAATTTATCTTAACCTTAGGCTAAGGAGGGTAAAGTCGTAGTTTCACATGTGGGTATCCGTAAAAGGATCCAACGTAAAAGTGTAGAGAGATAGAGAATGAAAAAAATATTTGTTCTTTTTATATTAACCTCTTCTTTCCCTTTTGTTTCTCTCTCTACTTTCTCTCACTTTCTTTCTCTCTCTGGAGTGTCCATTCGATCCCAAAGCTCTCAAAAAACCTCACTCATCACTCTCTATCTATCTGTCTCACCCTCTCTGTCTGTGTGATTCAGTCTCTATTTCTCTCTCTCTCTCTTAAACTGGAATGCTGTAACATGAGTAGAGGGCGGATTGGTATTCACCACCACCACCGGTTATGAATCCCACCACCGACCAACCACCACCTCCGCCGCCGCAGCAGCCACCATTACAGCCTCACCGCTCATCCTTCAGCTGTGACCGCCACCCAACAGAACAGTTCACTGGCTTCTGCCCTTCATGCCTCTGCGAGCGCCTCACCTCCTTAGATCAGTCCTCCGCCTCCTCCTCCCGCCGTCCCTCCAACGCCTCCGCCGCTCCTTCCTCCACTGCCGCCTCCGCCCTTAAGGCCATTTTCCGAGTACCCATTTCCTCCACCACCACCGACAACAACTGCATTAAAGGCAAAAGCAAACCATCTTCTTCTGCTTCGTTCTTCCCGGAGCTTCGCCGTACGAAGTCGTTCTCTGCCTCGAAAAACGAGGGGTTTTCTGGTGTTTTTGAGCCGCAACGGAGGTCCTGTGACGTTAGGGCTCGGAGTACTCTCTGGTCTCTCTTCACTATCGACGACGAACGCAAATCCACCAACAAGAACGATCAATTGGTTGAAGTCGAGACTCGAAACGTGACTGGTCCAGTGTTGGAATCCAAAGAAGAAGAGGACGAACACGGCGACCCTGTAGAAGAAGTAGAAGAGGAAGACGATGATGGTGATGAAATTAGGGTTTCTGAAGAAATCGTAGAAGAAGAGATCGTTGAAGAACAACAAGAAGAGGAAATCAAGACGATGAAAGACCACATAGATCTCGATTCTCAGGCGAAGAAACCCTCCTCCGGCAGAGACTTGAAAGAGATCGCCGGAAGTTTTTGGTCGGCGGCGTCGGTTTTCAGCAAGAAATGGTCCAACTGGCGGCGAAAACAGAAGCTGAAGAAGCGAAATAGCGGCGGCGAATCGGCGGCATTACCGGTGGAGAAGCCGATTTCTCGGCAGTACCGCGAAACCCAGTCCGAAATCGCCGATTACGGCTTCGGCCGGCGATCCTGCGATACGGATCCTCGGTTCTCCCTCGATGCCGGACGGATTTCTTTCGACGATCCTCGCTACTCTTTTGACGAGCCCCGAGCTTCCTGGGATGGGTATTTGATCGGCCGGACCGTTCCTCGGCTTCCTCCGATGCTCTCCGTGGTCGAAGATGCTCCGGCTGTTGTCGTTTCGAGGACCGATTCTCAAATTTTGATCGAAGAGCCAAGGAATTCCATCAATGGGGATGAAACAGTTCCTGGTGGGTCAGCTCAGACTAGGGAGTACTATTCTGATTCGTCTTCGCGACGGAGGAAGAGTTTGGACCGGTCTAGCTCGATAAGAAAGACCGCCGCGGCTGTGGTGGCTGAAATTGATGAAATGAAGGTGGTTTCGAATGCTAAAGTGTCTCCGGCGACCATTGATTACTTTCAAGGGACTAAATTGGTTGTGGGTGATAGAGAATTGAGGGATTCGAATTCAAATTCGTTGAGAGACGATTGTTCGGAGACTTTTGAATTGGGTTTTAGGGACAATGCTTCGATAATTGGAAACGGAGAACGAAAGGGTTCAAAGAAGTCTAGTCGGTGGAGTAAGGCGTGGAATATCTGGGGTTTTATACACCGGCGAAGTGGGGGTAACAAAGATGAGGAGGAAGAGAGGTATAGCAGAGGAAATGGGGTTGAGAGGTCATTATCGGAGTCTTGGCAAGAGCTGAGAAGGGAAGGTGATGGTGAAGTGAGAGGGGGGTTTAATAGAAAGGTGTTAAGGAGTAACAGTAGTGTGAGCTCGAGGAATTCGTATAGCAATGGTGGATTTGGAAGTGTAAAGAAGTCGAGTGTTGAGGCTAATGGGAATGGTAAGAAGAGGAGAGAAGAGTTTGTTTTGGAGCGAAACAGGAGTGCTAGGTACTCGCCAAACGACATTGACAATGGGCTATTGCGATTCTATTTGACGCCTATGAGGAGCAGTGGTCGAAGAGGAGGGGGATCGGGGAAGAGTAAGCCGACTAACTCACATTCGATTGCGAGGAGCATACTGCGATTGTACTGAGAGAAAAAAATGGAAAGGTCCAATTGTGTTAAATTTGGTTTTAGTGTTTAATTTTGATGCATTTGTTGTGTAAGCACACATGCCTTTGTATTCTTGATGGTTGGTTGGTTGGTTAGATAAGGGGTTACCTTGCATTGTGATTATCATGCTTCTTTACTTGCTCTCTTATTAATAACAGAAACAAAGTTCTGTGTCCCTTTTGTCTCTCTGATCATACTGTTGTAAAGATTTTGAATTGTTTTTTGCCCTCAAATATGGTTATATTGGGACACCATATTGGTATCTTTTGCTCGTCCCCCAGGTGTTTGCTTACTTTTGAATGTTGAAAGCATTGTTTTAGGGAATGTTCACCTAAGATGTTTGGCATGTTGTATGTTTTTGTTTGGTTCTAATATGGTAAAATACAAATGGGTTGTTTGGCATAATTGTGTTGATTTGCGAGTCTGAGGGCAAAAAAGAAAGATGGTATCATCACTAGGAGCCATTGTCAATCCCACAATCAGCATTGTTTGCTTGTCTCACCTTGTTATTGTTCCCCTGTTGACACCGCTCTGTTTCTGTAATATGATACATCAAAGACAGGCATAATGTGAATGCCACACATGTAGCATGTGCTTCAACTAGGTCACATATAGGATCTGAAAAATGCTCGGGGCAGGAGTTCTACTAACAAGGATCAAAACTTTCACACATGGACATTGTTCTTCTGTCATTCAAGTAATCAGGTAATGATTTTTCATCTACATGCATATGTTGACCATGTTTATTTGTCTAATCTGTATGCCTTTGTTAGGTGTATAACAAGCTTTCAGTGTTTCTTGGAAGCAATCTTAGTGGTTATTCGTCGCTTAGCACATTATTGCCAGTCACTTGCTCTCAGAAAATTCATGGGTCGGTCAATCTGTCCCGTCTTTGTAACGAATAAAACAAGAAATTATGATTGTAATGGATCAAATACAAATGTCTCTCTTGAGGCTAGTGTATGATCTCTAAAATGTCTCTCCCTCTCGATCTCACCTGTATATTTCCACCTGTTTTAAGATCTTTTATTTATTTTCCTTTAGTGAGTAACTGCTTTTGTTGCAGAGTTGCAATTTAATCTAGTTTGAGTTTTTTGAAACGTTTCTTCAAGAGGTTGTTGATCAAGGCCTATGAAAAAGTCCTGTGAACCAAGCATAGGAACTTTGAAGCATCGCCATGGAAGCAGGCTTAAACAAGCTCAAGATCCGTTAAAGCATTTGCTTGTTACGCTTCCTGTAACTATTAGAACATCCAGTCCAGGTTCTAGTTGAATGTTTCAAAGATTGATTTATCAGGGTGAAACCGGTGGATGCAATGTTTCATGTTTAAAAAGCTTTGGTCTAACAAACTAATCCGATAGGCGATTGAATCAGAATTTATAATACAGAAGGGATCAGTTATTTACCTCGTCCTTTTACTCCTTTCTTCTACACTATGCTTCTTCTGTTATTGGTTTATGAAGGATTATAATGGTTTTGGTTAATTTGTTTTCATGTAAATGAGCAACAATAAAGCAAAAATTTGCTAAAATAATGGCTATGCTACATCAAGTAATAACGTTACAGTTACAATAAAGTACACAAAAATCAAACATAGAATTGGATATATAGAACATATGAATTTTAACTTGGATATATAAAACATATGAATTTTAACTCTGTTTGGTTTAGAGTTCTTAAATACGATTTTTTGAGTTTTCAATTTATATTTTTGTATTTCTAGTAATTTTTTAAAATATTTTAATCAATTATTTTTATTTTTTGGATTTACTTAATCTTGATATACTTAAAAACTATAAAATTTGCATAATTTTTTTAAAAAGAATTCATTAAATACAACAAAATATGAAACTGTATTGAATTTATATATATACAATATTTTTAGAGTTTTTTTCTTTAAATATTATATTTTTTAATTGTATTTTGATTAGATGTATTTAAAAAATAAAAAAAATTGCGTTAAATATTTAAAAAAATTATTGCTAAAAACAAAAAAATGTAGAAAATAAAAAATTCAAGTTTCAAAAAAACAGAAATCATGTTGGGCTCGTCAGGTCCACCATGGGTTTTGTTTCGATAATCCGAACTGTTCAATGTGTAGAGCTCGTCGAGTATTTTATCCCTGTAAAATATCAAGTTGATCGGATGAGATTTTTGTTAATAATTTATTTTGAAAATTATATTTACCGTTGACAGAAATCTGATCTGATCAAGTAGCTATTGATATTTGATCAACGTGATTTTTTACAGGGATAAAATAATCAACGAGTTCTACACACTGAACGGTTTGAATCATTGAAACAGGACCTGTGGTGGGCCCTCACGGGTCTAACAGCACGCTCTAATTCGATCGCAGATTGGAGAGAAGCCTAGCCCATAATTTTTGTGTTCCTACTAAAGGTGTTCACGGTTCTGTTGCGGCCAGAAAATCTCTAATCCGCCATCTGTCCGCCGAATGGGCGGATTGAAAAAAATCAATCTGCATTTGTCTGCCGAATTGACGGATGCGGGTTGAGTGAATTGACGGATGGATGCGAATCGGTTTAGCAGTTTAAACTTTTACAAATTTTAAACATAATACAACTTGTCAACTTTTTTTTATTATTATAATCTAACTCAACATAACTAAAAGATTATCAAGTAAATTGTCAAATATCAATAAAAATACATATAACAAAACCATACATTATCAAAACTATTTCATTACTTTTCTTTATTAAAAAACTATTTAATTTGATTTTTTTTAAAAATGATAAAATTAAGCCTTATATTTTCTATACAAAAATACAAAATATCAACCCTTGCCATTTGATAAAAAGATTTCTATATTGAAAACAAATTAATATATAAACTCTTTTTCAATTCAAAACACAAATACAATATCTAAACAAATTGAAAACACAAAATCTTATAAATTACTAATGGTGCTTGTGGTTTGGCGGTTCGGTTACGGCCAAAGGAACTTCAAACCCACCATTCATCCAAAATTAGGTGGATTGGAAAAAATAAATCTGTAACCGTTTACTCGTCATCACGCATCCGTCTAAAATGCGGCAAATCAATTCAGGGCGGATCGAAATATCCGCTGCTCACCTCTAGTTCCTAGACTTATGTTCAAACTAGATACAGTTTTTATTTTTTAAAAACACATCAAACTAGTTTTTTTTTTTTTTAAAAAAAAATTAAAATTAAAATCAACCATAATTTAAAAATATATATATATATATATATTCCTTTTGTAAGAAACACTATAAAAAAAAATTGTGAAAATTTATTTTTTTCATAAAAAGCATTTTCAAATTTTTTACTAAATTTATTTCTAAAATACAATAAACGAAAATGCAGAAAATGTTACCACAGTAATAATCTTTGTTAGTATCGGTTTTGTGGTATTTTTGAGTTCAAAGTACTATAAAAGGGATTCCTAATCTTTTCTCCTTTTTTGTCGAAGTAATATGTGGAAAATGAATTTTTTTAGTGTGTAATAAAAACACAATATGACTGGTCTAAAACAGTAAGTTTTATATCTAAAAGCAAAATATATTAACCCCACTCAAAGTTGTAGATCACATAAGCTTACAATAATAAAATTTTATGTATTATTTATACACACCCTTTAAATGTGTAAACAAAATAAAACTCCGATAATGATTTTTCATCTTTTGTAACAACCCTTTAAAAGATGCATTCTTCGTAAACTATTTCTTTATAATATTGTTCTCATTCAACAACAATATGAGCCACTTAGATGAGCAGCCGGTGCTTGCTTCTCCAATTACATGATAAAATGTAAGGAAATACTCTGTGGGGGTACACATCCCAGTTATATATAAGTTTGATTATCATAAATGGTATAATTTAATATTATGAGAGTTATAATTAAAAAAAAGAGAAATGTTATACACTCTAAATAATCTATCAAATTTTTTACCAAACTCTCTCACATGGGTGTGGGATCCTCACAAACCCACATGTGAGTAAGTCCCCAAGAGGTGTGGTAAAAAATTAGTAAATTATTTGAGATTTCTAACATAACTTTTAAAAAAAATTGAGTTATAACTAAACATCATATGAGGTATAACCAAATGACTTTTAGATCATAAACAAATATCACAATATGTCATAACTAACAATAGAGTAGGTTATAACCATCAATTCAAAAGTTGTAACCAAAAGTGAATATAGTACACACTCTAATGTTGTATTTGATTGAAGGATTTGAGGAGAAATTTAGAAAGAGAAAGGGAAAATATGTGTGAAATTAAGTAAAATATAGATATATGCTATTCACATTTCACTTATTTTTTTCATTTTCTCTTTCTAAATTCTTCTTCAAATTTTTAATCAAACACAGTATAAAGAGGGTGTATACCGTAGAATTTCCTTTAAAATATAATATGGTAATCTTTTTGGGGAAGAAAGTAGGCTAACGCACATGTGAAATGGAGAAATAGTGAAACAACTTTGAGGCCATTATAGTTCAAAAGAAAATGCACTAGTTGCATAGGAAAAAAATAAAATAAACTTTTGACCAAAGAAAGTCACAAAAAAAATTTAACAAAAAGAACGGTTTCTCTCACTTTCGGATATGAATGGGAGAGATCTATCAAATGATGCCTCATGTAAGTATTTTTTACAAATTAAAAATTTTTAACTTGTCCACCCAATCACAAAACCCACCGACCCATCTAATATGAGTTAAGTTTTTTTTATTTTTTATCGAATTCAAAATTCAATTTTGCATTAAATCTGAACATTTGATTTGTAAAACTACTGATGTTACAACCATTGTTACTCTCTAGTTTGTACTTCGAAACAAAACACAATTTGGCTCAAATCCCATCAGCAACAAGAAAAAGAGAAGAAAACCAATGCCAAAGCAATGATGATTTCTCAAAGAAAATGAGGTATTTTTTTTCCTCCGATTGGGAAATCAAAGGAATCAAATTGATAAACATAATGATTTGGCAAGATTGAGCATATGTTTTGTCTCTTTTTTCTCTCTACATACATGTAAAAGCTCTATGATCAATGACATACTTGCTATTAAAGTCAAAAAAGTTCCAAGAAAAACAACCCAAAATGCTCCTTCATGGGGGAGATAAAAGAAACAAAAAGAGAAAGAAAAAGATTAAAGAGAGGCTCATTGTCCAATGGCATGTCAAGCTTGCCCCATTAACCTCAATGGGAAAATGGGTTGGCAAAGAAATGATTCGGAGAAAATATGGACCATCTTTGTCAACGGTCAGATATAAGGGCCTCATTAGGGGATATTATCCTTTGTTTAATTATTCATTAATCCCATACTGTTTACTCAAAAGATGTATTTGACTCAAATTATTATTTCACCAAACAAATTCTAGTAGGTGGCCGATCTTGTCTTCTATCCAGTCAATTAAAATCGGTCAGATCAACTTTATTCATCCTGTAATGATTCATTTGATTAGTCTTTTTTTTGAACAATTCCTCTGATTAGTCTAAGAACACCGTATAAGCATGTTAAGGTGGTACTCCAAAGTGATTGTGGCATTATCCCTCTATGTTTTTTCCTCTTTTTTTTTGGCCATGTTTCCTTCATGTAGATATGAACATGTACAAGCTCATGTTATAGATTAAAAAGCAAAAATGAAATAAAATTTTATATTGACATTGAAGAATTTGCCACTTTGAGAAAATAGCTTTCATTGGCATGTATAATTTTATTGTATTCACATCTTGGATATCAATAGTAGAATGTGTTACGACTAAAACTAATTCCATTGTGTCCTATTAAGAATTTTAAATAAGACTGTTATATATCACATGACTTTTTTCATCATTTTATATTATCAGATTATATGACAAAATATTATTTATTTTTATTAATTTTTAATAATTATTTTTAAAAACGAATCATGAGTATCATGGAGGATGTGATATAAAATGGTGATACAGACCAATTCTTTCTTCTTTTTTTCATTCTTTCCATTTTTGCTTCAATGGAGCTCAAGCTAGCCATTCTTGATTCAACTATTTCTTGTGAGGCATTTGAACATGATTATAATGCCAAGAAATGAAATAAAAAGACTTCCCCAATTTGATGACAGGCCTTTGATAGAGTATTTGAGAAATTGCTAGAGCAATAACTATAATTAGAAAATGTTTAGAAACACTTGACATCAAATTGTTGAAACCACGTTTTCTTATGCTTGCTGAGATCAATGTCAATACTAGACACTCAAACCTATTTGAAGCCTTAGACAAAAAAGCTAAATGAGACCCTTTTAATTTGTACATTGTAGTGCTTTGTGTTAGCAAAACTGAGAAATTAACTAATAATTTTACATCTCAAAAAGCGAGAAAAAAAGAAGTCTGTTAAAAGAAAAAAAATACAATCTATATTTTTTAAATTGATCATTGTCGATGCAACAAGATGTTGAGGACTTCATGTATATTACTAACTACGCAAGGGGAGGGGAAGTTGGGGATCAAACCCTAGCCATGATTGCCTCACACTCTATAAGTGCACCATAATGGTTCGAAACTAACATAAAAATGCATCGAACTCAAACACACACTTACCTTGTTTGCCACATGGAAATATCTACCTCCGACTATTGGCCAAAAGAGGGCTGCCACGTGTCCCTGGTACCATCTAAGTATACGACTAGGTCTGGAGTGGACCGTCTATGCTTCTGGTCCGATACTTCTATAAATAGAAGGCCTTCTTCTCCTCCTCCAATACAACAAGAGAGATAAGTCCCTCTTGGTACTACCCATCCTCAGCAAAATCGGCTCTCTCCCTCTCCTGCTCTAAACCAACTCCACTCGTATCTAGTCCTTATCAGCGACTCAGCGCCACATCAAAAACCAGCCATCAATAGAACCATATCAAATACATTCAAAGGAAAAACTGCAGAAAAAAGAAACTCAAATGTATCTACTATCGACCCAATGAACTCGTCGAGTGTAAGGACCGATATATTTTCTGTAAACCCAAGCAACAATGGTGAGGTAGGCATACACGAAAAAGGGTAGCCACAAAAATCAACCTACAATTTTGAACACAACTCATTGCAATGGGTATAGACATTGTCAACCATCAGCAATCAAGAATGCTGATGCAAGTATCAAGTTATTTCAACTTTCTATCATGGCAAGCCTACGTTCAATATCTCTCTGTGAACCCGTGTCATCAAAGTCTTCCATTTCATCATCATCACTGTCCTTGTGTTAGGGATGGCCTGGTTTGCAAGCTCATTCGTCTAGGGATGAACACATTAAAGTAATATCTCAAAATGCTTTCTTTGCCCTTGGATGGAAAGGACTTCAAAGCATGTTTCAAAAAATTCTTTCGGTTGGATAGTGGATACATTTTCACAAGTGACTCATACCTTTCTTGTTCCTTCAATGTCCATGACTTGGAAACTTCTTCACCCATCTCATCAAACTTCCAGCTCAAGAATGCCGGACCAAGATCAGATCGTAATATGAGCCTTTCCTCAAGAACGTGGCGTTTAGTGCAATCAATAGACCCAGGAGAAACACATGTGCAAGAGTTGGATCTCCCTTCCCCAACTGCTTGCTTAGTGGTTTCTGTAGTTCTTCCTTTGAGGGGCCAAATTTGCGTGCCCAACCATCTTGAATTTTCAGAGTCAGCATCCTGGCCATTAAGATTCTCCTTCTTGGGTGGGCCAGTCCACTCTGGAACATCAGCCTGGAAGCGGGGCCCAACTGGAACAATCATTCTTTGCAGATGATCACCGATGAAGTTCAATAGCCTGATTGACCGTCGAGGTGCTTGAAGATACACTTGTTTTGGCTCCCCAGAACTTGGGGAGCTTGAACTGTGAACTGAATCATCCAAATCCAATGAGTTTTTTGGATTGTCGAGGTTCAGTCTTTTGGGGCTTACCAGGATTGAACCACTGATTGATTCGTCAGACTCAATTGAAGGACAGATATCATGGTTAGGTGGACCCCAGTCTACCACATTATCCTCGCATGTCAATAAACTGCCTGAACTAGACGAGTTCAAAAAGATTTTCTTGTTAAAACTTCCAGTGGAGTCAATCGAATTGAGTAAGCATGAATTTGAAGAGGCACGAGATAACTGTCCTTTACTCAGATTTGTGACGCTTTGCTGATTAGATGTTTCTGAAGTCAATCCACGTGCATAAGCAAACTTATCTTTTAGAAACTGCTGCAATTTTCGCTTTCTCTGAAAAATACAGATACTCGTTCCATTAGAATGGGCAAGAGCAAGAGATTGACGGTCACCATAAGGAAATCACAGCTGAAAATCTCATTTGCAAGAATCATAAATTGATTAACAGCTTCAGCAGAACAGAAGTTAGCTCTTCGGTAGATAGGAAATATATTTGAAATAAAAAGTCTGAAATGTGATTCCAAGTAAAGAAAAAACACTAGTTATTCTATTACATCAAACGAAAGTTCTAAAATGTGATTCAAGTTTTCCATTCTTTTTCTCTTTGTACAAGCCATGGACACAGGCATGCGATATAACACACGCGCCTAGGATTTTCAAAAAATGCAAGGCAAGACACAACACGTAGAGGACACATGCGAAGCATATAATTATTTATTACATGTCAAATAAATATTCTCATCAAATTCATCATCCTCGATTCCTCCAGCATGTTTGACACATGTCCAGCACATGACACGACACGCGTCGAACACCAGTACGTGACCCCTAAACAGGTGTATGTGCTTCATAGTGTACAAGTAAGACACAGCTTGGCAGACTTCAAAATTGCATATTTGATGTACTTCATCCTTTGACTTCTCTTTCTGATATGAATTCTTTGTTTGGTTTCGTTTTTCTGAAAACAGTTTTCAGAAAATTCTACTTTCTTATTTTTCGTGTTTTTTGTTTTTGATGAATTTTTTTAATATTTTAAGCAATTTTTTTAATTTTTAGATATACCTAACATAAATATACCTAAAAAATAAAAAATTTGTAAAAAAAACCTTTTAAAAATTCACTAAATACCAAAAATACAAAAAAAATACGAGAATTCAGTACATTTTTTGTATTTTTATGTATTTATTAATTTTTAAAAATATTTTTTCACAAATTTTTTACTTTTTAGATACATCTAAGTAAGGAGCATCCAAAAAACTAAAAAAAAATGTTTAAAATTTTAAAAATATTCACTAAAAACAAAAAAACACGAAAAATGAAAAACTCAGTTTTCAAAAAACTTAATCCAGAAAACTCAAACCAAACACACTTTTCAGTGTGTTTATGAATATGAATTGAAACAGCTGGTCACTTTCATCAACATGCCATGTAAAAGACCTAGTTCATATCATTCTGAACTATCTGTAGAGAATCTTGTAACACCAATTCAATAAACAATGTCCAATGTAATATAAACATGACAAGGCACAAAAAAAATAATTTGAAGAGTTGACTAACCTAATAAAGGATATGGCTAAACAATGTCCAACAATTATTATATACATGAAAAGTAAATAAAAAAAAATCAAAAAAAATAATTACTGTAAAAAGGATAAATTTGACATAATACAACTTCCATACTCGCACAAATTACTCAAAAAGTCATCCGAGTAATGCTAATCAAGTTCACAAACATACATAATGATCCAAATTACCGACACATGAGCAAAGAACAACGTTTTCAAAATTCAAAGTTCCTACGACAACACCACAATGTTGAATGATCCCACTCCCAATCCCTGTACGATCCTAATTCTCAAACAGTCCCACTTTGATTCTGCTACATTAATGATTTTACGCTGATTTGGATTGTTTGAGAAATCTAGGATCACTCGATCCCATGATCTAGATTGCAATTGTGATAACCACACTAGCACATACGTTGAATTACAACAAAAGTAAATGCAAAAACTTAAAGCTTAGGAAGTTATGACAGATGAATGGAAGGTATGAAACAGTCCCCAGCTCCACTGTTTTTGGCCATATAATTCAATTTTCAAACAAATCGATAAACTTAAGTGTTGCACCCCTCCACCGATCCAAAAAAAAACAGAGAGGAATGACTTGAATTGGGAAGTGCATTTGAAAGTCTCTGTGTACTTAAAAACATTTATGAGGATAAAGTTGATTAGAATGTTCTAGGTTGATATCGCAAAGTCGCAAGACCTATACATCTAGGCTATGTTACAAATTCTACTAATTGTATGAAGTACCCATATTGGAGATTCGACACTTGGATAAGGGTATGAGATATGTATCAAACGTGTGTAGATGGACATTTACCCAACAATCAAGGATGGACCTAGGGGGTGACGAGCAAGGGCAATCACCAACCCCCACAATTTCAAAAAAAATTCTTATTACACTAGTACACTAGTATCTAGTACTCTTTAGTTGCCACCCCCTACTTGCTCAGTCACAATTACTACCACAAGAAAGTTGCACCTCTCTGATGGGGCTTATGCACTCCACAACTTTCTTATGTTATGGGGTCACGAAGATTGAATTGAGTTGCCAATGCTTGTCAGCAAGCTGAAAAGCCGTTTCTCCTTTCTCTAATAATAAGGTAAGCTTCATAGCTCCCAACCTACACAAGGACGCTGTTGCCGACACTTACTAAGCGCTAGTTCTATCTCGGCTAAGCAAAGAACCAAGGTGGGAATAATGAAAGAAAGAAAAGGGGAAAAAGCGGAGTACAGGAATTTGTACTTATTAGGCCCATGACCTAATTATCTCCAAACTATAAAGTCACGCCCCCTTTCGATTTTAAAACAATTTAAAAGGTCACCCCTACATGGGTTTGATGGCCTGCTAAGCCTGCCCATGATTTGTAGGGCTTGGGATCATTGTTTAGGCCAATAGGCCTGGGTTGGGCAAATTTTTTAGGCCCAATTATAATATGGGTCGATTTTGGGAAGAGTGATTCAAGCCCGCCCTGCCCCAAAACTATGTTTTATGATATATTTCAATGTATATTTTACATGGTTTAATATTAGTTTTTATAAGCATAATTATGTACTACTGGTTATGTAAAGAATTAGTTATAAAATTTGAATTACTAGCCTTGAATAGGTTAAAGAGACACCCAAGTGATTAAATTAATTATAATTTTTATTTTAAAATATGAAGAAAAAATATATATTAAATAATATCCACGTCATGTGGCGAGCTTGGGATTTTTTTATTGTTTTTGGATGGGTTTGGAAATAAAGTATAGGCTTGATCCAAGGTCAAGCCGGGTTTGAAAAATGACTTCAAATGTTATTATGTAATACGTGCCCGGCCCGAGCCCGAACCCACCCAAGCCCAGCTCATGTCCACACCTCTCTATCCAAGCTTGTTAATTAATACATAATCAAATATGTGTTTAATTATAAATTAATTTTTATTTGAAAGGCCTTGAATACATTACTAAATTGAGCCTAATACATATAATAGAGGATATCTACATGGTGGATTATGAGACATTTAGTAGTCCAGTCCAAAGTTTAAAAAAAAAAAATAATTTAAAAAAATCATCAATTCCTGGGTTCTTCTCCTTATTTATGGTGATTGTGTTTAACTGTCCGTTTGGTATACACATTTGGGCTAAAATAGCTATATAAGACAAATTTCACTATTTTAGTCAAATATAACAAAATATCACATCCAACCCATAATCATCTCATTTTTTCTCTCACAAAAGTCACAAAAGCCAAAAAACCTATCCCAAATGAGACTTTTTAGCCCCAGGCTAAAATAGCTAAAAAGTCAACTCACATCCCAAACGAGCATTTGTCATAAGTGGGAGAAATAGAAAAGGCTGTGTACCACTGCACTCAACACTTAGATAAGAGTATGAGATATGTGTCCAACATGTGCAGTCGGAAATTTACCCAATATTCATATCTAGCAATTCGAGTTTACCATATAATTATGCATGAAATATTCATATCAGGCATGGAATGCTATATGTCACCTTGTAAATACCGCTCGATCCTAGAAAATAAAAGAACGATGTTAAGAAACAAGAGTATTGCACATGTTTGGGAACTAAATGAATTCGATGCTTAAACACATAATTGCACACCACCACCAATACTGAAGTCTATGTAATATAACCTATAGCCCATGTTTGTTTCGCGGGATAGGATAAGATGAGATAACAAATCCGGGGAGGTTGAGATTTTGAATACAAAGGAAGGTAATTTCAAAAATTGGCCTCCAATGGATTATCCCTGCATATGTTATCCTACCTCGAACCTTGCCCACTGGATTATGTAATCCTGATTATAAGGGATATAAGCCCCAAGCTGGATTGCTTATCTTTGTGACCATTTGTGGAAATAAACATGGGATAAGGGGGGAATAAGACGTGCTTTCCTATCCCGATTACCAAGCTCACTATTCCAGCAAAACAAACTTGTCCAAAATGCTTACTAAATGAAAGGAAAAGACATGAGGATCTTAGAATATATAAGAAAGACAAATTACATTACTAGAGAAGAATGCATTTGCAACAACTTGAAAGTTAAAAGAAACCTCAAATATGTCAATCAAAGAGAGAGAGAGAGAGAGAGAGAGAGAGCATCGGCTGAGATGGTTTGATCATGAGTACGAGGGCAAAGGTAGGTAGACACATGATATGGCTTATCTTACGTGTTGAGCAACAATTATTTAAGACAGTTTTTAAGCTCTCTAGAATGTGTTGGTAAGCAAAAGACAAAGGATAATGTTGCAAAAGAACATCTAATGGTGAATGATTCTGACAATTTGGTGGTGGGGGGGATAAATCATAGAACAAGGTTTAACAAGTCCAACATATCCATCCCAAGTTTGTGCAAAATGGGAGGAAATGCTAAGAGAAGAATACAATTTTCTGCTTACCCGAGGAAATTCAGTAACACTTAAAGCCATAACTTTTCGCACTTTCATAGTTTGGTTCCACAATGGTCGAATTGTACTCTGTGATGGTCCTGAAGTACAAGGATCTAAGGCAAGTCTTTTTATCCAAGACAACATATCTGAATCAGAATACTTTCCAAAAGCAGATTTTGTTTGCCCAACCCCACCTACATTGGGCAAAGAAGCTTTATCATTTTTTTTTCGTCTGTCAGAATCCATCTCAATATGCGATGCAGTCACCTTCATTCGTTGAATGCAGCAAATTTAATATCTTATCTCTAGCGCATCCAACCCTGAAAGAAAAATTTGCACACAATGAGCCATGCCAACCCCCAAAAGTAGCACAGAAAAAACCTTCAATCGAGATTGTAACTCGCATATAAATAATTTCAAAAAGTATTTTGTCCCCAAAATCAAAATTGTTGTTAATTTCTTATATGGTCAAGTACAATGCAATGGCGACATCTAATCCACTTCATTGAAGCAAACATAATACTATTTGACTTTGGTATCGTTTTCATTTTTGTTGAAATTTTTTAAAAAAATAAATAAAATAAAATAAAACTTATGGAAACTTGTTTGGTAAATTATTTTGGGGAAAATTTTCTGAAAGTTGTTTTGTAAATTTTCAACACTTATTTTCACACAAGAAATGAAAATTATATGAAAAAAGAAATTTCCAAAACATGAAAAAATGAAAACATTGAAAATGAAAACAACAATTTTGGCCCATTAACACAACAATATCAAACTTCAAAACTCATAATAACGATCACGGTCCAAGCATTTTCATAGCAAATGCCAAACTAATCTCAACCATTAACACTTTTGTAAGTAGTATATTTGAAATAGGGGTATAACTTGAGTGGGTCCAACCCGAACAATCAAGTCTACCACAATTTTTTTTTACGATTTGAGCAGTATAATTTCAAATTTGATGAGGGACTATGCTAAAATTTACCAAGCCGAATTAAATTCAGACAAGACCTAGACAGTAGTTCTCACAACCCAAACAGCTCAACCAACCCGAATTATATTATTAATATATAAATTATATATAATAAACATAAACATCAAAAATTAATAATTATTGTCTCACCATTTGGATTAAATCGTATTACAATGTAATATATTCTACTGTTTGGTACACATTAATCAAATCTGAATTTTATTATGTTTTATTCTTCCACTTTTTCATATGGAGCTTCTACAATACACTCTTCTTTTGGGTGTACCATATACAAGATATAACATTTTCTAGTTTTGATATCACTTTGTATCATGATCAAACCACTTTTGCTCATAACCAAAAGAACTACAATGAACATAATCAAATATCACTTGAGGCATAACCAAAATAACAATTATGTAGTATCATAAGGCCATCTCCTAAGTTGCATCAAATCTTTCATCAAATTCTAATTTGATAAAAACAGTACTCTAGCCGTTTCATCATATTGGTATCAAATGAAATGAGCGGTACTTTTTTTATCAAATGAAGGGAGCATTTATCCTTTCATCAAATTTTGCAAGTGACCGTTGGTGGACGACCTCCCGGACAACTGGTTTTGGGTTGAATTTGATGAAAATTTACTCCAAAAGGACAACCGGCGAGATTTGATGAAGCTATTGGAGTGCATCATATAAGATCAAACTTTTTATCAAATTTGTTTTTTGATGAAGCGGTGGAGATGCTCAAACCAAACACCAATTGAGCCATAACCAAACTCTTTGGTCAAAACCAAAATGAAAACAAAATAGATTATAACTGGGGTAATGAGTCACAATCAAATCATAAGCAATACGACACTGGATTATGACCAAATACTATAAAAGGTCCATTGAAAGACACGGAAAAAATGAACAAAGATCCACAATGAGCAGAACAAGAGAGTAGAGTTTTGGGAGATTAAAAAGTATCAAATGAGATTTTCGATGCGAATGAAAGCAATATCTAAAAAACAAACCCCCAAATTCGGATATTTCGAGAGGAGGTCCGAGAGTGTCTCTCGGCAAAAGTTTCCAAATCGAACCATTACTCACTGCGATCCGTATGTACATAGATTATATATGCGTATATGTACAGAGAGAGCTAGAAATGGATCTACAAAGTTCAGGTATACAAATATTACGATGATAATGGGGGTTCTAAATGGCTTTTGGCGTCTACACTTTCTCTCACTAACTTGAGAGACAGACAGACAGAGAGAGAGGGCATTTGGAAACGAACCTTGGCTGGTTTTTTGGGCAGGCTTCATTGATGGAAACTGTAAGGTGTTGTTTCTGTGTTGCAATGGTGAACCATCGCCCCAATCATCGTCTGATACAGAGCGACGCGAGAGAGAGAGAGAGAGAGAATGACGGGTTTGGATTCTGGATCTTGCGTGGGTTCGGGCTTTGAGGATTGTCCTGACAAAAAAAAAATGGAATTTTGCGATTTTAACCCCCTAAATAATATTTCTGTCAAAAAAAAATACCATGAAAATATGACAAAAATATCTAAAGTTTGGAATGGCTTATAAACGCTCTATTTATTTGAGTAAAAAATATTTTTATAAAACAAAAATAATTCATCTATCAAATTTGAATTTCCTCCAATTGTTTGAATTTTATAAGCTAAACGATCATGTGGACGATCAGTGCAATTCTTGTCATTGTGATTTTTACTTTTGTTAACTGCGATTATCACTCTTATTCTTGGATGACCGACATGCACAAATTTAAAAAATTTTAGACGAGTCAAAATTCAGTAGATGTAACATTGCTCCTTATAAAAATATGAAAATATATTTTTTATATTTTTTGATGTTTGGTTCAACAAAAATAAAAGTTAATGGTGTACACATAAATTTCTTGTGGATAAAACAAAGACATAAAAATAGAGTATTCTACTCTTAAAAAAATTGACTCGGGAGCTAGACAATTTTTTTAATTTTAATTTTTTTTTAACAAAAAAATTGAAACTACGTGAGCGCATCATAACTTTTATAGACCCTGACTCTAGGAAAATTAGGACTCATTTGACAAGTAGTTGTTTTAGCTTAAAAGTCAAAAAATTATTAAAAAAATCAAAAAACCTATAACTTATATTAAAAAGTCAAAGATTCATTTTTCTCTTTACTTTTTGCACATCTTTTCGTAAAAAGTCAAAAAATCATCCCAAACATACTAATTTTTTTTACCTCATATTTTAGCCAAAAAGTCAAAAAGTTACTAAAATAACATATTCCCACACGAGACCTTAGTTGACAGTTAGATTTAACCCAACCCAAATAAATGGGCAGGTGTAATAGTGGGCTTCAGACCTAGTTCACAATTAAGGGTCATAGAGCTTTGCGACAGGAGTACATCGCATTGTCCAAAGACTTACGTACCCCTCAAGTGTCGAACTAGGACAATTTGCGTAAAAAAGGCCTGAAAAACCATTGAACCATCACCTTGGTGGTGGAGCTTGACAGCTTATTCCCTAATCAAAGTGCAAATAAGATGGTGATGAGATAAGTTGACACGAGGGTTTGATACCTTGTTCTTGAATCGAATGGCAAAATCTTCTCTAAGCAGTGTGATGAATATGACAAATTTGCAGGGCGTTGACTACTTTATTCTCAAATCTGATTTGTAGAATCTTCAACAATTTAGTGTAAAAGAAAAAAAACTTTTATAGGGTTTTGTGATAAATTTTGACTTTAATCTCTAAGCTTTAAGCGTGATAGAGATTGATGGAATTTCGTACAAACAATTTAATTTAATCCTCCAAGCTTTATACTTTTATGGAGATTGTAATAGAGATTAATAAAGTTTTATCACGATAATTTGATTTGATTTATGAGCTTTATCCTTTGTAGAGATTGATAGGCTTTGATGAAAAGACTTTCAGAGTTTTAGAGGCTTTTTGTTTCATGAAACTCTCTCTTATTTGATGTAAAGTTTTGTCTCTATAACTTGATTTGTTCATGTACAATTATCTGTAAAATTTTGTTAGAGATCATTCATTTTAGGGCAAATTACTCTAACAGTCTTTATAGTTTGGGACTCGTGTCACTTTGGTCCCTGACTTTTCAATTGTGACACATTTGACCATGAATTTTGAATTTTATTCCAAATAAAGACAATTGAAGATACTATTATTTAATTTCAATGGCAAAATCGTCAATTTAATAAAATATAAACTATTTTAACAAAAATAAATGTCAAAAAAATATTTTTAATTTTTTAAAAATTATTTTTATCCACCAATGATAAAATTATGTAAAATTGATAAAAATTAATAAAAATTACATGATTAATTTTTAAAAATTAATTTTACATGATCATCATCCAAACACATAATAAAAATTAATTTGGTAAAAAAAATGTCTAAAAGATTTATTAATTTTACATAATTTTATTTTTAGTGGATAGACATAATTTTTAAAAATTCAAAAATATTTGTTTCACATTTATTTTTGTCAAATTAGTTTATATTTTTTCAAATTCACGATTTTACCCTGAAAAATCTTAATTGTCCTTATTTGGAACAAGATTCAAAATTTAGGGTCAAATGTGTCACAATTAAAAAGTCAGGGACCAAAGTGACACAAGTGCCAAACTATAGCGACTATTAGTTTAATTCACCATTCATTTTAATAGGCATAAATGAATGAGAGTCTTAATAGACTTGAATTACTTTGATAATTATCTTTAATTTATTGAGAGATAAATACTAAATAACATTTTAATAGTGTGTGAGGATTGGATTGACCACTATTAAATGACTTGGGTCCCGTTTGGTACAACTGTGAAAAAGTGATTATATATTATACCTTAACAGATTATGGCTTATAGTTGTGAATATAAGCTGTTAACCTGTTTGGTGTACTTGTGAGATTATGGATTTAAGCAGCAGAGTAGTGTTTGGTTAATAAGCTGTGAAATAACTTTTTACTGTATAATTGTCATTTTTGCTCTTATATGATATAAAAATGATTATTTTGTCATTTTTTTCAGTTTTAATTTTAAAAAAATTATTTCATTAATAAAAGTTAATATAATTAGTCAATTAATACTGAAATTAATAATAGTATCAATTAATGGTTTAATTACCATCAATATAATTAATACTATCAATGGCTTAATTAATACTTAATTATTTAATTTTTCATGTAATTAATGGCTTAATTAATACTTAATTACCATCAATTAATAATAGTATCAATATAATTATTTCATTTTTCATTTTTTCATTATAAATGAATTAGGTGTCAATTAATGGCTTAATTACCATCAATTAATATTAAAATTAATAATAGTATCAATTAGTATAATTTTTTTCATTACAAATTAATTAGTGTCAATTAATGGCTTAATTACAATCAATTAATACTAAAATTATTAATAGTATCAATTAGTATAAAATTATGAGTAATGCTAGGGATACCAAATTTTCTACCAAACAAATGACCAAATGTCTCATATGGGTGTGGGGTCTGCAATTTTGTGGGCCCCACACCCATGTGAGACATTTGGTCATTTATTTGGTAGAAAATTTGGGACCTCTAGCATTTTCCTAAAATTATTTCAGTTTTTCATTATAAATTAATTAGTTGGCAATTAATGGCTTAATTAACATAAATTAATACTAACATTATTAATAGTATCCATTAGTATAATTTTATTCATTTTTTCATTATAAATGAATTAGGTGTCAATTAATGACTTAATTACCATCAATTAATACTAAAATTATTAATTGTATCAATTAGTATAATTTTTTACATTTTGTCATTATAAATGAATTATGGGTCAATTAATGGCTTAATTACCATCAGTTAATACTAAAATTATTAATTGTATCAATTAGTATAATTTTTTTCATTTTTCATTAATTTTTTTTCATTACAATTAATAATATAACAATTGTCATTACAATTAGTATTAATTAGTATCAATTAATACATTTGATAAAATTGATACATTTAAGCTGAAATTGATACATTTTATTAATGTATCAATTTTCATTAAAATTGATACATTTGATAAAATTATTTCATTATAAATTAATTAGTGTCAATTAATGACTTATTTTCATTTTTTCATTATAAATTATTATTTTCATTTTTTCATTATAAATCAATTAGAATAAAATTATTTCATTACAAATTAATTAGTGGCAATTAATGCCTTTTTGTAATCAATTAATACTAAAATTATTAATTAGTATTAATTAATATAAAAATACTGAAATTAATACTAAAATAATTAATACTAAAAATACTAATATTATTGATTTTTGTAATCAACCAATTTTAATATTTAATTCTAAAATAATAATAACATTGGAAACATTTAACTGCATCCTTTTATACAATTAAAAGTCATGGTCTAGTCATATCTGCTCATAAGATTAAATTGTTTCAAACCAAGGTTTGATTTTTAGGTTACGATATTCATCATAATACTATTCTCCCCATTAGTCGCTCCATTGAGTTTGCGTCTAAATTTCCTGATGAAATTCTTGATAAAACCCAATTACAAAGGTTCTTAGGTTCCCTCAATTACATTGCTGAATTTTACAAAGACCTTCGGAAAGTCTGTCAACCTCTTTTTGATAGGTTAAAGGATAATCCTCCTCCTTGGTCTTCTGTTCATACTGCTATTGTTAAACAAGTCAAACAATATGTTAAAACTCTCCCTTGTCTTGGTATTCCTACTGAGAATTCCTTCAAAATTATTTAAACTGATGCTTCTGATATTGGTTATGGTGGCATTCTTCTTCAGAAAGTCACTCCTCAATCATCTGAACAAATTGTTCGTTATTATTCTAATGTCCGGGATAAAGCACAATTAAATTATAGTACTATTAAAAAAGAAATTTTATCCATTGTTTTATCTATTCAAAAATTTCAAGATGATATTTTAAATCAAAAATTTTTACGTCGTGTTGATTGCAAATCTGCTAAATATGTTCTTGAAAAATATGTTCAAAATCTTGCTAGTAAACAAATTTTTGCTCGCTGGCAGTCTATTTTAAGTATTTTTGATTTTGATATTACTTATAATCCATCGTTATGTTGTATCCTGTTTCTAACTGCTTTGTTATTTCTAATTAATCCTTTCTGTTGTTTATTTAATTAATCTCGTTTTCAGTTCATCTTGATCACGCAAGAGATCGGTCTGTGTTTATCCACCTGGTTTTAGTCACCCACTTT